CATGCAAAGCTACTCTAGCTGAAGAATATAACTATAGAAGTGGAATCTTTTAATATATGTCCACTTTTATTTAGCGTCATAAGGTCACTATTAGTGGTGCATCTCTAGTTTTAAATAGTATCATGCAGCTATTTCATGGTAATTTGGATGTTGACTAGAGCATTTCTATCTCTGATTCTAAATGAAAAAATATATATATATTGATTTAAGCTGCCATATGGAGAAACTTGATTATACCCAGTGGATTTTTTCTCTCTTTTTGAGGTTACACAAAGTGGATGTAACACTTCAGCGTGTTGCTCTGTTATCCTGAGGGCGCTGCTTCACGGCTGGAAGTTCAAGACCTAAAAGATCTTGTGAAATGCCAAACTGAAACACAGCCGCCAAGATCTGGCTCTGAGAGGAAAGGCGGTGGTTTTTAAAAGAGTCTCTGGAGTGAGTTCAGCCACTAATGTTCTATCAAATGAGACCTTCAGGACTACAACAAGAAAAGGGGGGAAAAAACGTAAATGAGAGCAGGCATGACATTTGCTTCACACGAGGGGGTTCTCAGCAGAACCTAAAGCACCATAAATTATCCACTTGTGCTTTCTGGAAAGTGCATGCAGGGGGATTGCACATCCTCTGCAAACCACAGGACAAGTGCAAATACGGCTGAGTAAATTTACCGCTTGGCATCAGTAAATCATTTCTGCAGGTGATGAACAGTCTGTGCCACAAGATGGAGAGAAGTGGAGAAGTGGGGGGAAGATGAAGGGGGGGGGTTATTAACACAAGAGAAAACAAGACGGGCAATGACGATGAAAATGGAAGCAGCGTGTGAAGGCACAACTCCAATTCAATTTGGTCTGATTTAATCTCATTCTGATGGCATTTTAACCTTTTGGACCAACAGTGGCAAATCAAGTCACGTCAACCTAGTTCTCAGCAGTTGGAGGGAAACACAGAGGCTTTACTGCCATGACAAAATGAAGCGTGGATTTGCAGCCAAAATCCTCCTTGCAAACATACATAACAGAAAAAACCACCCCAAGGCTCAAAGGCCACCTCGACAAAATTCTAATCATTGCATGTCACAGAAAACACTCATCAAAAATCATCAAAAAACAGTAGAAAGTAGAAAGATCTTCCTTTTCAATTCCCTCTTCAGACGATTGACACACACAATAACAAGAAGTTCTATAGCGGAAAAACATGTTCTACTGTTTATCTTAAGGCTACTGGCGAAACCTGGCCGTGTCTCTCTTTAAGTGCTTTAAATATCACGTCATCGCATCAACAGGACGAGTCACTATTTTTCAGCCATCTCCATTTTGTCACACTGCTGGTATGCCCGTCATTGTTGCACACAAGCAAAAATCACAGTTGTAGCTCTACAGTAGATAGCTGGATATGTTGAACAGCTCAAGGTTTGACTTTAGACTTTAAATGTAAACACAGCTGAATGAATGAGGCAAGTGGATCAAGTCAACTGAGTTGATTCAGACCTGCCTAGTCTATATTCGTCCAGCTTTAAATACAACCTGCCATTGGAGCAATACAAACATGTAATCTGGAGCAGCCACTAGACCCATAACACTGGAATGAAAACAAATAGAGAAAGAAAAATGGAGAGAGAAATGAGGAAAGCAAAAAAAGAAAAAAAAAGTATATACAGCTGGTTGCTGTAGTTGAATGAAAAAGTGCAAACTGAGAAAGAAGGAAGACAGAAAGGGAGATAAGCCTGTGTCCAGCTGGTGCCACACACACACACTTCTTATTGTTGTTACGGCTGAATATGAATAAAGAAGCACTGAGACTAACTGTCTTCGTGTACGGGCTGCAAACACTATATAAGCCAAAGGGAACCACCTGTCACTGCTGACTGAAAGCTATTTGGCTCAAATTCAAAACCGCATAAAGCAGGAATACCATACAGACATACCACTGTAGCACACAGGCAAAGCTACAAGTACACACACACACAGTTAGATGCAGTTGCAAATAATAGTGAAGGGTAACCTGCGATGTTCAGATGTTAAATAATAAAAATTATTACAAGTGGAAAAAAATATGTCTTTTCAAGATTGATACTAAAAAGTATTTGGTGTAAAAATGTCCACATGAGAAAAATAGCTGAAAATTATAATTAAGCATTTATAGACATGTTGAAAATACATGTCAACGTGGTAGATTCCTTTAGTTTGGAAAGTTTAGTTTTGCTTGCACTGGTGTTATAATGTCAGGCAGCTCTCTCCCCGACCTCCTCTGCCATTAATTCAGTAATCTAAATCAGTGCGTCTGTACCAGCAGTGAAGTTAGAGACATAGCACAAAAAGGCCTGAGCCATTCGGCTCTGGATCAAGAACGCCCTGCAGCAAACTGCCTGCATTTAAGGGCCCTGTTTTAAGTAGACAGTCATTTTCTCTCCTACAGCTTACTTGCGGTACTCCCGCTCTCTCTCTGACACACACATGATACCAGCAGAGGATCAAGTGGAAACCTGGATCAGGAGCAGCGATACTGCCCTTCCAGACATCTGGCACAAAATACGGCATGCCAAGAAAACCACTCTGAGCATGTGCAGAATGTAGATCAAATTTAAAGTTAAAAGAAAAAAGTACGGGTCAAACCACCAAGCTGTTACTACCCAGAGTTGATCACCCACATAGACACTTCCTGGATTGTACACAATCACTCTCCTTCTCTAGAAGGTTGTTTTGCATCTGCATCAGTCATTGCATGTGTAACGTCTAACTTTATCCTGTCCCCGGCCTTATCATTTGTCTGTGCCTGCTGATTTGTCACGGCCTGCTGCTGTGCATACTCTTTAATAAGTGTATTTGTTAAAGTAATCCCAAGTACAAATGCATACTGACACATGTACACACCTTGCACCTGCGTCCCCTCGTAAACAGTGTGAAACATTTCAGCTAAAGACCAGCCTTGAGTCAATATCGCAAAGTAAATAACGCCAGTGTGCAGGCTGAAAGGCCCTGTTGTAAAATCTCCACACAGAGTGATGCAACTGTTCAAAGGGCACAATACAAATAGCAAGATAGGACAACAGTGTGTTGTCTTTACAAGAACTTGCGTTTTCTCAATAAGGACGGTTGGGATATTTTTGCAAACAAATTTTATGCTCAAAAATCCACAAAATAATATATGCGTGCAAAATAGAGCTAAAAAAAAAAAAAAAAGACGACTTCTTTCTCTGTGATTCTGAACTTTTTGAATGTTTCCTTGTGTTGCACAATCTTCACCCTACATTTTGAAGTTGGCGCCAACAATAAAATACAGCACAGATAAGATATCACGGTGCTTTACCTTTCCAGAACAATGAACGATTATTTAAAATAATAAAATAAAAATAAAAATCGAGTGTGCGATTGCCAGGAGGCTCAAACATCTAACTGCACCATAAAACAGTAACTCTTAAGAATTCAGACCTCCAAGGAAAGGAAATCTGATAACATTAGTTGTCTTTGCTAAGATTTTTGTCAAGGAGTTGTTTACTTTAAAAAACCTGACCTAACATGAGTGCTCTTAGTGGGAGGGCACTTGAAGAGATTCAACGGTAAGTTTGAAAGAGGGTGTGGCAGCTTGTGGTTATATTAAAGCTTGAGCAAAGCCAGCTGCTGACTGCTGTGATTCTTTAATCGGTGTCATAATACCAAGGGAAGCATGAACGCACAAGCACATGTGATGCATTCACTGCTGTAACTTATTTTGAAACCCCTTGATTAGGGAATAATAACTGACACAAAGGAGAAAAAAGGGAACCGATTACACAAACATTTAGTCGGTGAGGTGAAACCTTTGCTTTGCTTAAACAAGTTCTCCATTAAATTGGAGGAAAAAAAACATTACTCTTTTTTGGCCAAGTATTAGACATTTAATACATCTGTTTATCTTGTTCACAGTTGTGGGAAGCAAGAGGAAGTTCCAGCAAGCACCAAACAGGTAAAACAGACAGCTCATTTATCAGGGGGCACAGAAATATGAATAGGCTGACATCTACTTTCAGGTTTATAGTTGGAGACTAATAGCCAATGCATTCAAGAAATCTGAAAACGTGGAATATAAAGAACAATGCAGATATGAGCAGGGCATATAAATCCCACAAAGATAGGCTTTTTTGCCAGTCGGTAGATTCTCCAATCCTGCAGCTTAAAGCTTCCTCGACTACAAACATTGTTTGTAACCATGATGCTCCATAATCAGGCCCATCAGCAAGTTAGCAACCCGAAATGTATTATCCGTTTCAAAAATATCCGTCAATGGGCTGCTTACCACATTTGCCCTGCACTGTGTAAAAGGAGGATTCAGCCACTTAAGGTGTTGGTTGATACAGTTGAACTGCTTGGAAAACACTCAAGCTCTGTACAAGAAGGGCCAATGTTGGCTCCATCTTCTGTGCAGGCTGAGGTCTTCTGGGGTGTGCAGGTCCTTTACGACACAGCTATGGCTTCTGCAGTCTTTTATCTAGTTGTCTGCCAAGTAGGTGGCAACATGAAGCAGGACCAGAAACGACTCAATAAACTGATGAATAAGGCCGGCTCTGTTTCCTCGACTCCACAGAGGTTATTTGTGAGACAAGGATGTTACCCGAGCTAATAACCTTCACGGACAACACCACCTATCACCTGTATGAGACAGTGGAGGCTGCACACTACAATACCCTATATAAGATAAATACCTAATAAAAGAAAATATTCAGTGTATCTATTATTAGTCACACTGCACTTTTTGTACATACAAAAAAACTCTGTGACATATCTTTTGTGTTTTAACATATACACTTCCTCGGAGTGGGATTAATAAGCTCTGTCTATCCATCTAGAGGTTGCTCCCCTTTAGGCAGTATCCCCCAGTAGGCAAATGTACACTAGTGATGTCTTTAAAACCTCAACGTGTTAAAAATTGTTTGCTCAGTCTCTAAATTTGCACCAAGGGGTCACTAACATTGACATTTACGTGTTTAAAAAGAAACAAAATGATGTGTTTTTCTCTTAACTTACGGGGCTCTGTAGTATCTGTGTGACACGTTTCTTCTGCTCCAAAACGTTGAAGTCCTGTCGGAGGTCGGGAGACATGTTCCTGGCCCTGATGTACTCCGGATCATTCACGTCGACACGGTCGAAGTAGCGCTCCTTAGTACCTCCACCAGGCGGAGGAGGGGTGGTCACCACCCCCTGATGGCTGTCCGCACTCATGCCTGTTTCACCTCACTTGCTTGCTCTACAGCTGCCACTCTGACTGTCACCTGAAAAGCAGAAAGGTTGACATGTTACATGACACATATGAAGCAATTTTAAAAAAAAGAGGCAAGCAAGGAGAGTTTAACATTTAAATTAAAAGAATATTTCTTCAGGGTGTTTGTGGTTTTTATGCACATAAAATGAAGGGTGGTAATATACCAGGAAAAGGTGTAGCATGCAAATAAAACGGGCATCAAGATCTAAGTCAGATTAGCCTGTAAGGAAAAATGCAAAAGCTGAAATGTGCCATGTATCGATCACAGGATTTATACTTTTGTCGCTCTTAAACATGAATATTTTTCAATGAAAGTTAGTTGAATGCCAACAAACAGTCATGTTTAAAATTAGCTAAAGGCACGTAGCATAAACGAGACCAATGATGAGTAAGAAAATGGCATGCCTACCACCTCTCTTTTATCAGATGAAAACACACGGAGGTGTATCATAAACAGGAAAAGGAAGTCCCTGTTATCTCTATACCATAGAGGTGCTACTCTTCGGTTTGATGGAAATAAAAGTTCTATCCTGCAGTTCATGTCATTCGCTTGCTGAGTCACGACTACATGTAGGTCTTGGTTAGGTCACACTGACAGATCAACTAACAAAGCATACAAATGGGGGCGGGAGGAATTTTGTTTTGACATCCAAGACCTTGACTGCTGAGGTGGTTTACTCCCACTGTTCATTCTCAGGTCAACTGGCATGACAAGCATTTTGCAGGATGCAGGAATTGGTAAATGCAACAATAGAAAATGACTTCAGCGCTTTGCTTTCAGGCCAAGAGTCAAAGCCAACAAAGTCAAAACAAAAATACTAATACAAAAGATTAAAAAACAAAATGCAAGCAGAGATTTTAAATAAATAAACACTGCATCCTCCAGGAGCCCTTGTCAGCATACGCAGTTGCAGTTACAGTGCCAAATAGTAAGATGCTGGTGTATCATGAAGAGGCGGAGCTTATGGGATGGCTACCAGATGGTGTCTTGGCTTGGACAACAGAGGAATGACAGCAAAAAAAAAGTTCAAGGAAATAGATCCGAAGTTTTGTTTTTTTTAAAATGCAGTAGTCATCTGACAGCACCAGAATTAAAATGTATAGGTTCCTGTGCCAGCACAGAGTCCTCCTGTATTTCAATTCAGCGTTGTCATCTAGCTTAACACTATAAAAAACAGCAGGGTTTGAGCGGTGATTTAGATTGACACACGCCACTAAGCCATTCATTCAGGTCAAACGCCAATTAAAACTGTGGTTGAGATTAGACAAGAGTCACACACAAAACAAAGTTTAACGAACTCCTCACACATGGATGACAAATTAACCAATATTTTCCTTACTCATCACTCACATTGGCGTGTGACTGATTTATGGTTTTTCTCTCTCTCTCCAGGAAGAAGCCTGAACCCCGAGGCTGAAATAAAAAACACTCAATTTGTGCGTTTACTCAAATATCCATTAAACATCAGTACCGGTATTTCCTATACGTCTTTACCTCTAAGAATCCACTGGGCACTCAGGAAACCACTCTTTGTCTGCCTGATCTCCCTGCCATAGCTCTGATTTATACTATGAAAACAAATAATAGCCTCCCAAAAAGTAAAATCCTCTTTAACTGAAGGCAGCTGGGCAGCACAGAGTTATGTAACATGATATTGAATTCATCCTCCTGCCCGCACTGTTTTGCTTGCTGAACAACTTTACACAGGCCTGATCAACAAAAGCCCAAGACAAAAGGTTTTGAGAGCAGGACTTTGATATAAAGACTTGTATAAAGATGCATTTGCTGTGCTGTCCTGTTTCGTGCTTTATATCCACAGCTTTTCCTATATCTTCGACTGCAGGTATTCTGAGGAATACCACGTGGGAGAAACTTGACAGACGTGTAAATAAGAAATGGATTTAAGGACGGTGCGATTGACAGTAGAAGCTCACGCATAAAGTTTGCTGACTGGAATCTCTGCATGGCTGAATGCAACAGCTGTAGTTTCACCAAAATAAAACGACTCCCCCAACCCCCCACTCACACTCACATGCATGAATACACCACCCCATCCCTGCTCTGTCACAACTTCAGCAGTCCCCAGCATGAACTTCCACCACCCCACCCCCACCTCCCCCAGTCTCTGTCAATAGATCATTGTCCTCATCTCGAATCATCTCAGTCTGTTCAGATCCAGAGGAATCGACGTTTTTGGAGCAGTGGGGGTGGTTGTGTGTGTGTGTGTGTGCGCATTTGAGAGAACGCACAATTAATCCGAGTAAGAATGAAACCCGATCCTCACATTACACCAGCAACATTTATAATCTTAATTTCATGCTCGATGACAGATGCTTACACTTTTTGAATGCAGCCCACTGAAGATGCCAGTTTATACTGAGCTTTGTTCAGTGAAAGACTGGAATTTACAAAGGCAATGCCCATTAAAGTGTGGCATTGCGTGATAACGCTATTATTGCAGTCGATGTAAACTTCACAATTCTATGGCTGATAAATGAGGTGGGCTGTGTTTACTGATGTGCACTAGACTGTGACTGCAGCACCCGAGGTCAGCACAACCTCAAGACCTTTCGTGACCCCTCCTCTTTTTCCTCCTTTTCCTCCCATCTGCACGCTTAGAAGCACCAACAGACAACATGTTTTCATCTGAGGGTAAGCTGTCCATGAAAAAGTTCCCCATTTATAAAACAGTGCCACGAATCACTGCTACGAACCAAAGAATGCTCAATGTGACTTTAGTTAGTTAGATAACAAATGCAGCGAGTTAAAATTGAGCTTGGCCTTGACTATCAGGTAAGAATAAGAGGTCAGGCATAAAAACCAACTGTACAATACAACTGTATTGACCTGTATAATGACAGAAAGTAACTTAAAGTGCTAAAAGAATAACTTGAAATATCTTATTCGGCCAAAATACATCAAAGCAACTCTTTACAGTTCGTTACATCCTAATGTAAAATCTTATTTATGTGTAGTATGAAAATATTTGCTGCAGAGAAGAGATAGACGAGAAAAAAGGTCAATTAAGGATGCGTACATGTTTGGGACTTTTCGCTGCAGTTCAACTGACCACTTCCTTGTATTTGAATTGGTTCTGTGGACAGCCTCCATTAGTGGAACTCGATGTTTATCTCTAAGACAGAGGACTCATCCATTACACACTAATACTTCTGACATTTGGAAATGGAGAGCAAGTGCCTGAGACAAGGCATAACTCTCCATCTTCATCTGATGACAGCTGGCTAATCTAGAAGCCTACACAGACCTCTCTCCAGTCCTTTAACTCTGCTCTGCTTCACTTTTATCCATCTCACTCTGATGTTTCGTCGTATACAATACGCAAACTTGCTAGAAAGGCAGGAGTAAAGCAAGAAGCCATGAGTAAACATATGTAGTCACAAAAACTCCCTAAAATGCCGAGTGACACTGCCCGGGCTCTCCACTCACACACATGCATGCAGCTACTGTCTTTATCGTGCTGGGGCAGATGGACTTCAAAAGCAAGCCTGCCTACATCTCTGCCACCTCTGAAAATAGACAAACTGCCTTTTGGGTTGTGTTACAACCCTAATAACAACAATACCAGGAAAGAATCTGTGCGCCGCTAATTATATCCCCGAGTGCTGCAAAAAGCAGCGCGAACACACACGCACACAGTGACCTGTAGCGTAAACTTTGCTAATGCACACACCCAAACACACAGAGACAAGTAGGTGCGTTCCCTGTCCAAACACGCCTGCGTGAGAGCTCTAGCAGTGAAACTGAAGGACAATGTTTGAGCCAAAAGCTCAGCAGCTTACATGATCCTCCAGCGGCTTTGCTATGAGATGAGGAAAGCTCCTCTTGAATCCATCACTGTGCCAGCAGCAAGCGTTACCCATGACACAGGGTAATGCCTGGCTATCAGTTTAACCTGATGGTTTCTTATGAAATCTTGATTTAGAGCAACGACTAGTGACTGTGAATGCATTTTAACTTGCAAATATATTCAGGCTAATATGTTTCTCTCATCTGTAAGGATTCTAAAACACTCCCTGCTATCTTCCTTCACAGAGCTAATCTTCTCTGGTGCTCACACTCAGTGCACTATTATTGCCAGACGTGTTTACAGTGCAGAGGTCTATATGCCTGAGCGCCCTGGCAGCCACACTAACATGGAATTCCCCTTAAATTGCCAATCGTTTTTTTGGATAGTAACCTTTGGAGTCATGCCCCGGGTTCTAGTGGGAGCAGAAAACAGATCCCAAGTCGGATGAATGAAACAAAAACATCCGTCCATACGACAGAGGGAATACATACAAAATATGCAAACAGGTGTACTGACACAAGCAGCCGACACACAAATATAATGCAAGCACAACCAACCTTGTGTTTATTTCCTACTTGGTCAGTGAATGGGAGAGAATGGGGAGTAGTAGTAGGCAGCTGAGGCAAAACACATGTCTCTGTTTTTCACTGCTGCTTGGTGCCCGTGCACAAATTCCACCAGTGAGTCCCAGAAAGAAGCCGGGAGAGACGAGAGAGAAAGAGCGGGATACGAATAACCAGGCGGCGATCAGAAAACCAGTCTGTCCACGCGTCCCTGCAAATTTTCCATATAAATGCTCCTCGGTGAAGCTGCCAGCAGACAGCAGATTCTCCCAGATTCTTACAGTCTCCCCGTCTTGGCTGCTCCAGCGTTCATCAGATAGAGAAGTATCAACAGCTGTGAGTGCGTATGTGAGAGGATCTGTGTATGTGCGTGCCCTCAGTGAATGGGGGCGTGTGTTTGTGTGGAAAAGAAGCTAAAGCGACCACGTGATGCAAGCTTAATCCCCCGCCCACTGGCTAAAAGCACACACACACACACACACACACACACACACACACACACACACACACACACACACACACACACACACACACACACACAGGCAAAGGCATACAGGCTTTTTGACCAATCAGAGCTCAGGCTCACACACTAATCACACCTCCCCTCCTCCACTGCCTTCTCTCTCCCTCTCCCTCTC